ACCGCGCTCTTTATGACGGCGATGAGCTGGAGGACCTGAGAGGGTCCACGTCGGCGCTTGTAGCCGGTGATCTGGTGGAGACGAGGTGAGATATCAAGATCCATGATAGCACAACGGCTTTGCTAACAAGACGCAGGTACGGATCAGGACGCTTGCCGATCCTGGCCATCTGTCTCGGCGATCACCACGGCCTGAAATACTTCTACATGAGCACGGGCGAGGTCGTCCCCGAGCAAAACATCCCCACGCTCTTCACCCTCACCAACTTCATCAACCCCGCCAGCTTCCGCCACATTACAGACATTATCCCCCCGAAGCCAGTCTCGAACCCCCGCAACGTGCTGTCCCACCGCAAAAACGAAGACGCTCTCGCGACCGCTGCCCGTCTGCAGGAGGCCCTGACAACCTTCCGCGCCAACTCCGTCTCCTTTTACCAGGCCCACGACAAGCTCGACCACGCCAGCAGCTTTCTCGCGCTCCCTGACAAGCCGGACTACTTGAGCCTCGAGGAAATCGCTGAGAAGCTGCTGCCCGAATTTCTCAAGGTCAAGGACAAGTTCCCCCCGCACGCCCTACACGCCGTGCACTGCGCCTTGCAGCGCGACGAATGGGGCTTCCGGCCTCTGAACCTCCGATGGCACAGGCGCAACTACATCTACGAGGTGCGGCCTGACTCCGACGCGCGCATCCTGCGCAGGACGGAGATCCAGGTCCGCGAGCTGATCGAAGGCGCGGCGCTGCGCGAGAAGCCCGCCGAGTCCCTGACCCTTTTGAAACAGAACAGCCTCGGCCAGTTCATCCTCAAGGCGCGCGGCGTCATCGAGGCCAGCCGGAAGAGGAGAGAGTGGACGCCGCACGGCATGATCGGGCCCAGCGAGACGGAGGCGGACAAGGTCATGATGTGGAGCAACCGGGACCTGGACTACATCCGGTTCATGGAGCTCTGGGCGTGCCACCGCATCGTGCCCAAGGCGTCGCAGCTCGAGACCCTTGGGTCCACCATCCTGCGCCTGACAAACTGCTACACACAAGACGAGTGGCTCGCCCACTGGACCGCCTTCACCTTCCTCCAAGAGATCGGCTGGATCCCGCCGTGGGATATTCCGGCACGCTACGAGTATCGCTTCCCCGATACGAAAGTCCACAGAGGCACCCCGATTCAAATGCCCCTCGTCGACGTCAATGCCTCACTCAGGCCGGACATCGCCGCCGGGAGCAGACGGGACTGGGGAGACACGACCGTCTTCTGCGTGGACGCCGAGTCGACCACAGACGTCGACGACGGCTTCTCCGTCGAATCGACTGACGCGCCCGGCGTGTACTGGATCCACGTCCACATCGCCGACCCGGCCTCGACCATCGACCCCCACTCCGACGTCGCCCGCCGCCTCCAGCAAGCACCCTCGAGTCTCTACCTCCCTGGGTTCCCCAACAGAATGCTCCCCCGCGATCTCGAGCAGCAGTTCTCGCTCGACCCGGGCCAGCCCACCCTGACCTTCAGCGCAAAGGTCAACGACCAGGGCCAGATCCTCGACCACAAGGTCGAGCCCGGCATCATCAAAAACGTCCTCCATGTCCCCAAAAACGAAGTCGCCGCAGTCCTGCCCGGCCTCCTCACCCAGCAACCCTCCACAACCCCCTTCTCCGTCGGAACCCCGCCGCCCCCCTCCACACCAACAAAACAAATCACCAAAGCCTCCGCCCTCTCCCAAACCGACAGAGACAACCTCCTCCTCCTCAACCGCCTCTGCAAAGCCCTCAAACACCAGCGCGAAAAGAAGGGCCAGCTGCCCCCCTTCCAAGCCCGCTTCAACTCCCCCGAGGTCTCCCTCGCGCCCACCTCCGCCTACGGCGACCCGCAGATCCCCGGCTCCTCCATCATCTGGGTCGGCGACCCCTTCATCCGCTTCTCCGACCACGCCACCACCGAGGCCGACCGCCTCGTCGAGCGCCTCATGCACACCGCCGGCGAGGTCGCCGCCCGCTTCTGCGCCGAGCGCAAGATCCCCATCCCCTACAGCACCCAGCCCGAAGCCATCCGCAACAAGTCCGCGCTCGCCGCCTTCCGCAGGACGCAACTCGACCCCCTCACCCTCAAGGGCAAGCCCATCCCCGTCGAGACCCTCCACGCCCTCTTCGCCCTCGTCGGCACCTCCGAGCTCGCCATCGACCCGGCGCCCTTCTACTCCGTCGGCCTCGACGCCTACGCAAAGTCCTCCAGCCCGCTCCGCCGCTACGCAGACCTCGTCGTCCACTGGCAGATCCACGCCGCCCTCGCCCGCGAGCGCGCCACGCAGACCTCCCTCGCCGGCACCGACTGCGCCGAGGCCGACTTCCTCCCGTGGAGGCGGAGCACCCTCGCCCCCGCGCTGCCGATGCTGCAGGCGCAGCAGCGCCAGATCAAGCAGGTCGACAACAAGGACGGCCCGACGCAGTGGATCGCGCAGGCGCTGCTGCGCGCGTGGCGCTTCGGCGAGGCGCCGCTCCCCGCGACGTTCACGTTCGTCGTGGATGGGCTGTACGCGTTCGGCCTGCGCGGGCGCCTGGCGAGCTTTTATAACCTCTCGGCGTCGATCGACCTCGCGCAGCTGAGCGGGTTCGCGAAGATGGCGGAGATCAAGGTGGATGATCTGATTGAGGTGGAGATTAAGGATATTAATGTCGTGACGACGCAGATTTCGGTGCAGCCGTTGAGGAGGTTGGCGTCGGCGCCGGCGCAGAAGCAGCCTGGGGTGACGGGGCCGGGTGTCGCTGCCCGTGTGGCTGTATGATGAGAAAGGGTTTGTAAATGAGAGGCAGTTAATGACCTCGTGTAAGATCATGCTTAGAGCATAGACTCCCAAAATGCGTGTACAAGATAGATACGGCTGGCAGGTATGGACTTGCCTCAGGAACGACTCAATTATACCACTTGATTCCAAAGTTAAAGACTAGGGTGTAAAATGCTGGTGTCAGGTTGTCTGAATCAAGCAACAGTGAAAGAATTGAGGCCCTTTGTCAAAGCACTGCAAAGGAGGGAAGACCCGGCAAGGGTTCGTATGGCTATCCAGCCCACCGATACTGCATGATTCTGCAATGACCCAACAGTCTCGGCTCTGAGCTAGCTTTCGAGAATAAGTACGCAAGGGTTGAAATACCTTCAAACGACGTGGTAGCTGGAGAGCTCTGCTGGTCAGCGGACATCTCACGGCTGAGAACGAGCTTGTATCTTTATATTGAATGCTAGTGGGATCGAGAGCTTGCGTGATATAAAAGGCGGTATAGTCTTCAATTCAAGACCTGAACCAAGGAAAAAGCAGGCAATCCACATACTTGCTCATTGCTGCCTTAACCGAGATGACATCCTCCAAGACCTCAGATCAGCTAGTATGGCTGTATTCAACAGTTCAAAGCCTTTGCAAAGGCCCGGGTTGGTGTGCATTCGCCAAATAACCCAGTGGCAAGGATGATAGACGGTAAGGCGCCTGCAGACGTGACTCACATTAGCGGACCAAGCCTCTGCTTCCCCATTCAGCCGCTTCCCAAGTCGCCATTGAAGCGAAGTCGTGCATCCGGCAACTGACGCCTGGTATTCCTTGCTTTAGGCAAGGCATGTAGCATGGCGGAGCTGAACAAATACACCCCAGACCTAGCCGCTACAGCCCCATGTGTAAGTCGCAAATCTAGATGAGCCAGCCCACGGAGCAGGTTTCCATGTGGAATTACGGAGGAACCATTTAGCAACAGAGGTTTCAAGTGCTGAAAAGAACGGGCAAAATGAGACTTTGTTCTAACCGGGAGTTTGGTTGCTATAGGTTGAAAATTGTTCTCCCGTTCATTGAGACGCCAATCTCTCCTGCCAGAATTTGGTTTCCCTCGTGGTTCCGCTTGCAGTCGTGGTAGACCCGACGTTCTTTTCGTCAACTGTGTATTTGCGTGTTTGATTTCGAATTAATCGGAGAAGAAGCCAAACGTGGACTATCAATGAGTCCAACAAAGTGAAGCCCTAATTACTCTTCCTTACTTGCTGTTTTACTGGCGGGATGGCCGGGTTGCTGGTTACACTCAAAACAATAAGTCTACCCAGAAATCGAAATCAATTTGGTTGAAAACATCTTATCGTCAGTTCCAGTGTTAATTTTATATCCTTCCGGCAAGGAACTGAACGAAGACTTGAGCGTGACGACTAGAGGACGGCGATGAGTGGTCACTTTCAAGGGAGCCTGCTGCGGCAATCTATTGGAACTCGTTAATTTGCGGTAGAAATACCGTCTTCTTAAGTCGAATCCTGAGAGACGGGTTGATTCCCCATTCGTGTGATGGCACAACCGCAGAATGACGCGCTGAGCCATCCGGAAACACATACCAAGTCTCGTACGGACTGTTGATCCAAGGCCTAGGTAGAAAACGGTGGAAGAGCTTGAAGTACAGCATCTCAGCACACGTCGTCAGCCCAATGATGTTATCGTTCAACAACCCGAGAGATCGAAGCCGGCTTCTGAGTCGTTGTGTGTTCGAACTAAGAGCAAAGAGTTTGTCTCTTTGGATTTACGGCCATCAGTAACTTCGTCATCATCTCTGGGGTATATAACGCCAGTTGACCTCTTTATGTTGTACCTCAAAATGCAAGGTCTGTTGTTCCAGGACAGGGCCATGTCATAACGAGATCCTATATGCTTTTCGTCTAATGGACGGCTTGGAGACCATTGCTATCTTCTCATCGCAAGGCTTGCTTTTGCGTATTCCTCATATATAACAAGATGACGGTGGAAGTGCGGGACGACGAACTTGACTCGGCTCCTCAGACCGCCTCCTTTCCCTGACAGAGGAGATTCAGTCACCGCACTGAACTTTCGAAGACACTCACAAGCATCGAGTTTGAAGAGCCAGCGACATTTGCTGAGAACTGAAAAGTGGTATTTGCGTACACTATATGGTAGTACAATTGGACATATCTATCCATCATCCCCTGCCCCATATCACCCACTCACTCTACTCTACAACATCACACACACACCTCTTCACGCCTTCACATCCTCATCCCCATCCTCCCTCGGCGGGGCATCTTTCACGAGATCCTCCCTCGCCTTGGGAACCTCCTTCCTGCCGGTAACAAGCTCAATGCCAATCAACCCAGCCAACATTCCACACAAATGGCTCGTCAGGTCGACCGTCTGCTTACCCCTCCGGAACAGCGCGGCGATGTGCACACCGAGGAGCACCGCCAGGAATCCCAATCCCTGCGGCCCGTTCATCGGGTCCGGCGGGAAGCCCAAGATCTTGAACGTGTCGAAGCGGTGCATCCAAAAGTACGCCGTCGCCGTGCCGAACACCGCGCCCGACGCGCCGACCGTCGACACCGTCAGGATACCCCGCAGCGTGTAGATGGTCAGGCTGCCGAGCAGGCCGAGCGCGCCGGAGGCCATGTATATCGCCAGGAAATTCGCGCGGCCGACCTCGTCGTGCAGCGCGGTGCCGACGAACCACAGGCCGACCATGTTGGTCGCGAGATGGCTCAGCGTTGCGTGCGAGAAGTTGGCCGTCAGCATCGTCACGGCGCGCGGCATGCCGTGCACCATGATGAAGTAGCGGTTAAGGAAGCCCCACAGCGGCGGGACGTGCCACGCGGCGTAGACGAGGGCGTTGAGGCCAATGAGGAAGCCGACGGTCGCCGTGGAGGCGGAGACCTCGGGGTACAGGCGCTCGGTCTCGTGGGGCGGGGAGTAGACCATGGCGGCGGCGGCGAGGGCGCCGACGAGCAGCGCGACGACGGCGTAGGAGGGCAGCAGGCGCTCGAAGAAGGTGAGCTCCGGCGGGGCGTCGAGGTTCGAGGTGAGTTGGCCCTGCTCCTGCCACTTTTGCATGCGCGGGCTCATGGGCGGCCGCTTGATGGGGACCGTGGCGACGGCGCCGCCGGGCACGGGCGGGGGAAGGCCCTTCTCTGCGGCCTCGCGCGCGAGACGGGCTTCTTCCTCACGGGCCTTGGCCTGGTTCTTGGCGCGGATGGCGTCCATGACGCTGTAGCCGTACACCGGGTCCGGTTTGACCTCCTCGGGAGCGTTGTCCTTGTCGCTGTTTCTGAGAGATGTTTTGGCCGAGTCGGTGTCGGCGGCAGCGTCGCCGTCGGCCTGGTCGGCGATTTCCTTCTCCAGCTGCGCGAGCTCGTCCTCGGCGCGCAGGCCGGCGTTGAGGATCTCGTCGACGGGGACGTTGTCGCGGAGGTACTCGAGCGCGGCGGCGCGCTGCTCGGGGCGGAAGGAGGCGGTGTTTACGGTGAAGATCGGGTCGTCGAGGGTTCCGGCGACGCGTCGGCCGTGGAGGATTCTGAGGAGGCGGTTGGCGGCGTTGGGCTTGATCGCGGGGCCGAAGACGGCCTTGACCTCGGCCGCGGTGAGGTCCTTCTCGCGGAAGGGGAGGCCGATCTTGTCTCTGTAGTCTGCGGGGAGGTCTTCGTATTCGCGGATGATTGTGGATTTGGCGGACGAGGAGGAGGAGGCGTAGCGGGGTTGCGTCGCCCTCGCTGCGGGCGAGGGCCAGAGGTTACGATGGATCGGTGACCATGATGACCTCGTGACGCGGGGGGCGGAGAAGGTCGAGAGGAGTCGGAATGGTGAGGAGGAGGTTGCGGCGCGGCGGCATGTTGCGCGCAGGCCGAGGCTGAGGAGGGATCGCGCGGGGAGGACGAGTGAGGTATTCATGGCTCCTGGGAGCCCCGTTCGGGCCGGTCGTCGCAGCGCACTGGGGAGCTTGTTCACTCCTCAATGCGCCGGTGCCGAGTGCGGGATTCGGTGGGAATCAGGTGTTCCAGGGGGTAATTCCCGTCTCAATGGGGACAAACGCTCCCACTTCCTCTCGAGGCTTCCAACGTTGCGTGGTTCGATGAGTGCGCACCGAAGAAGTCATCGCCTCCAGAAATTCTTTGAGTGACGGAATCAGGGCCGCACCAACGGTTCGGCGGCGGTCTGTTCCGGACCACGGCGTGGTGTGAGTTTAGTCTGACCCGGCAGGCCCTCAAGGTACGATTGGTCGTTATCGATAAGGATGATGTCGACGGGGCGTTGTATCACTACACCCTCCACTCCCTCCCTCCCCTGTTGGTAACCCCCCACTGCAGGAGCCTTCCACCCCGCGGTTTGCGTACCTAGCTGGCAACCTACACTTGTTCCTGCTGCTCCTGCCGTTGCTGCTGCTTAGCAAGAACCCAGCACCGAGGTTTGGCAGGAAGCTGTCCGTCACACTACGTTACCTACGCAACACCACCACTACACTCCTACACCAAAGCTTACCCTGCGACGACCATCGCCAAAGCAGCGCACGATCGCGCCTATCCTCACCTACGTCACACCTTCTCAACGTAACAAACGAAACACCACCCTCCACCAAAACCACATCGACATTTCGACCTACCTTCACTTCTCACCTCTCACTTCACCAACCATAGCAGAAGAAGAAAGAAGGCAAAAATCAACACCACAAACACAAACATGTCCGCCGCCGACACCGCCCCAATATCGCCCACCCGCTTCGCCGCCGCCCTCAAAGACCTCTCCCTGCCCACCCTGCACCTCAAGGTCCTCGAGATCCGCAACTCCATCCTGCACCTGCAGTACTCCAACGCCCAGCTCAAGCCCTTCGCCGAAGGGCTCGCGACAACCCTCGACGCCGCCACCGACGCCGCCGCCGGCCGCCCGGACCCGGACTGCGTCGAGGCCATCCGCGAGAACGAGGCCGTCATCGCCCGCATGGAGGAGCGCGTCGCCATCATCCGCGCAGAGGTCGAGGAGCGCGGGCACAGCTGGAACGAGTTCCGCAGCAAGGAGGAGGTCGACGCCGAGGGGGGCAAGGCGGAAGGTACTAATGGAACGGGTGTGAACGGGACCGCTACTGCTGCGACGACGACGACGGCGACGAATGGATTGGCTGCTGCGAGGGACGAGGAGGAGAGGACTGCAAACGGCGCGGGTGCTGCTGCCGCGCCGAGCGCGCACCCTGCGTGGTTGGACGGCACTTTCCAGACGGGCACGATACGCAACGGGGAGATCCAGCTGGATGCCCAGCCGGGGCAGCGAGCGAATGGAACCGGCGGCCGGCTGACGGACGAGGAACTTCGTAGGGCGATGGAGGAACAGATGAGAGGCCTTGGTCAGGATGATGATGAGGATGGCGGCATGCATTTGTAGACGAGGCGGAGGATACCTACCTTTTTCCAAGTCATTACTGAAAGATGGGGCGGCGTTCATCATGACTGGGAGAGACATCAGGTTGGCGGAAATGGAAAAAGAGAGAAAAGGTCACGGAAAGAGATAATACCCTCATGTTCCTATTTTGCTTGCTAGCATGCCATAACAAAGGGAAGCTGAAAAAGAAGTGGAAGCTTGATCGCATCTATGTGCGCATCCAAGTGTCAAAGTGAGAAAGGAGAATGAATGACGGATCCGACTGAATAAAAAGTAGTCGTCCCTTGGTGAGCAAGAAAAAAAGAAATCAACCCAGAGCCAATCCTCCTTTTGGGGAAAATCAAGAAATCATGTTCCGTATGCTGCTTGCTGCTTTTGCGCACATCTCAACGCCGATGCCAATCCAATCCGTTGTAATGCAGATGCCCTTGCCTGAACGCTATGCCCCCCAAATTGTAATAATGCAGTTGATGGCCCCCCGTGGAAAAGTGGCAAATGGGGCCACAAGGAAAGGAAAGTTTTTTGTGTCCCTGGGGACGTGTTATGAAATGGTTGCTGGTGTAGTCGGTGTGTTCTCATCCGACTTGAGGACGATCGGGTTGGTCGAGGCCTTGGGTGTGATGTCGGCGTCCTTGGCTGTGGCATTAGGTCTGGTGCCGTTTGGCCGTGCCTTCAATGCCTGTCTGGTGTTTGACCGGGAGCTGGTGATTGTTTCCAGCTTGGGCCGTCGGGGAGGGCTCGCGTGTCCCAGCGAGTCCCAAGCGCGGTGCTGAACGTAGTCGTCCTCATCCGAAGACGTCTCCTCCGGCGTGGCGGGGACTCTTCTGGCGCGGGCTCTGCGTCTTCTCTCTACCAGTTCGCCGTCTGATGATACTTCGGATTCCAAAGAAAGGCTGCGGCTACGGTTGGACATGTTCTTGCTCGAGACCGTTGACTTTCTAGATCTTGACCCGATGAGCGAGTCGATTAGTTCCGATTCCGAGGGGGTCTCGTCATGGCGGGGCTTCTCCGCCTGTCGCAGCTTCTTCTGGAGCGCCTTCTCGCGGACGAGCCTGTCAAGGGGAGGCTCCTCGGAAGCCATGGTTCTTCTGCTGCCGACAGTGCTGGTGCTGTGTGTTCTGGTGACGGGTACTCGTCCTTCCATGAGCTTGGCTGGTGGCGGCGGCTGCAACATCCACTTGAGGGCGTCGGGACGAGAAGGCTTGCTTCCGACAATTGGGGGGTGGTAGTCGTTGACTGGGGGGTTCCGCGGCGTGGTGTAGAAGTTCTCGCGATCTTCGTCCGTGATGGCCTTCTCGCGACCCAGCTTCTCCTCGACGTAGCGTCCCGCCGTCTTGCCTGCTCCGACGATGTTGTCCATGAGCTTGTGGCCCATGCCAGACAGATTGTGGCCCCATAGCTCCTCATCTTCGCGTTGGTATAACGTCCTGTTCCACCCATCGCCAGACAATTTCCGTGCCTGCTCCTGGCTGATTGTCGGGCTGACGGGACCGGTGCTCTCGGCGGCGGTGCTCGCACATCCAAAACTCGCAGCGGTACTCGCGCGGCCAGCACTCTGCAGGCCTCTCTGGCTGGCGTTTTTGCTTGCCGACTTCTTGGGCAGGTGGGGTCCCATGGCCATCTCCTCGGCCCAGTAGGGGTTGGTGTGGAAGGGGTCGGGATGACGATACAGTCCCGGCTGCTCCATTTCTATGCGTCTCTTTACCTCTCTTTCCTCCTTTGCCTTCTTCTTCGCCTTCCTAAACGCCTTCATCTCGTTACATGGCGTGCAAGCGAGGTAATAGAAAATGGCCGACTGGATAGCGACTGGTAACGACATGATGGCGACGGATTGGCCGTAACCCCGGCAAGGGGAGAACGAGCAGAAAGTAGTCGGCGGCCGTGGGTGCACGTATACATCGAATGCTGAAGTGTCGTGTGTGGTGGAGGTTTTCGAGGGTATTATAGACGGGGTGTGTGTGTGTAGGAAGGTAGTGCCTCGTGGCGGTTCGCGGGGAGAGAATGTCTATGCTCTTTGGTGGGAGAAGTGACAGGAACCAGGACCACAGAGGTGGATAGGTGTCTGCGGTAATGTCGAGGTTAAAGGTTATGGTGAGTTAGGTAGGCGAGCAGTGTTGCAAGTGCTCGGTGGGTGAGTAGGTGGTCTCGTAGTCAGGTAGGGTGAGGTGAGTGATCTGAGTGATGGTCGAAGGAAGGGACCGCGTGCCAGCGCCAGAGAAGTTTAAAGCGCCATTGAAGTGAATCACCGGCGCGCAGCCCAAGACACAGTTTCGGTACGGAGGCGCAATTGCTTTAAGAGTGGCTCGGCCTGTGCGGCCCCCTGGGTACCGGGAGTATCGAGGATTGGTTTGGCGGACGGGAGGGTTTCAAGGTTGGCACCAGACGGCTATTTCGAGGGGTGTGTGTGGTCAGGGACGCTTGGTGGACGCTTGGTGGCTCGAGGGAGAGAGAGAGTTGTGCCTCTGCAAGGTAAGACGCCTCTTTGGTTGTGTTTGCTGAGTGTGTAATTGTGTTGAGTTGTCTGTTCCGGGACCGTAGCGCAGAGACGGCGTTCGGGGTGTGCCGGGCGAGGGATGGACGGGGTGTATGCAGGTGGTCGGACGGACTGAGGAAGAAGGCAGATGATGGCGATGGTGATGCCGGGGGCTTGCGTCGCGTGAGCAATGAGACGGTTAGATCTGGCACATGGGGGTTGTTGGGTTGGCAGTGACCAGCTGCTTGGTTAGGTAGGCAGTTGAGGATGGCAAGAAGCAAAAAGAAAAGAGGATAGCGGGAGTAGGGTGAAAAGCAAGGCGAATTGGACCGAATTGTTGGAGAGTAAGGTAGTAGAAGCAGAGACGTCGACGTTTCGAAAAAGGGAGGCAGAGGCTTGCGCAATGAGAGACGGGAGTCGGGAGTGCTGGTCGCTAGTACTGGCGCTGGTGCTGGTGCTGCCACTGGCGGTGCTCGAATCAACGGTATCCGTACTGGGTCTGGCACTGGAACGAAAGGAACCTGGAAGGGGGGGAGTGGGTGGAGGACGGACGGGGACTGGACGGATGGAGGGATGGGGCTTGGTGCAGCAGCAGCAGCAGCGCAGCAGTGCCTGTGGACGGGTCGTAGTGCTGCTGCTGGGTGGATGGAGGGGGAAGGGAGGAAAGTATCGGGTACTTTACTACTCCAGCACCTGCTATGGTATGGGTTCCAATGAATGTCGCCAATGGCATGGCTCAATGGCCCCAAATTCCAGTGGAAATCACTGCGGTCTGCGAGAGATTGCGACTGTGGCCCTCGTCCCCCCATCCAGGTCCCAGGGCCTCCACAGATTCAAGCGATGAGGGGCCCTGACCCCCGTCGTCGAGAGGATCGTGGATTGGGGGGACAGGGCACCGTAACTTCCAGATACGGCGCCCTCCATGCGCCGTGTGCCAATAGCAAAAGCCAGCGGCGCAGTGTGGGGTTTCTGCTTTCTCACGATGCATCTCTCTGCACCTCCAACATACGCCATCTGCCTCTTTCGGGTTTGAGGAGGTTGGACAGCA